CTATGATTCTGTGGGACTTCCAGATCCAATGGACAAGCAGGTACCTGTACTGGCCAATCAACCAGACATTGTAGTAGTAGACAAGGAACAGCAATGATTATATATGTAGTGGTGCCAAGTGACAGCAACAACAGGAAAAAGGAGTACAAGAAGCTGGGCAGATACCAGGACCTTGAGAAAGAACCAGAGGTGGCATTCAGCAGGTTCTGACCAGTTCTGGAGAACCGGTAGTGGAAATTTTGAGTAGTTCGGAGAACCGGCAAATAGCACCTCTGACTGGAGAAGATTTTACAGTATCCGTCCCCTGCCATACCCAGAAAGCCACGCCCAAAGAATCGGTAGTACAAAAATTTGAATCCCACCACTGGAAAGAACTATAGAAGATGTGGAAAGCAAATGCCAACATGGTCCCTGTGATGGTGGGAGTACTCGGGACTATGACTTCTAAGTTGTTTGGAGTGAGGCTCCAAACAGATCCCAGGAACAACATCAGAGCTCTTTGTACAGAAGAATACAGTGCTAAGAACAGCTAAGATGCTGTGCAGAACCTCCAATTCCCAGGCCTCTGCTAGAGATCTCAAGATGAAGAACATACATATCACCCATAGGGCTGAGAAGGGAACTTTTTTATATACAGTATGTATTATATTCATTGCCTAATAATATCATGCATTTTTAATTTTTTTTAAAACATTTACTGTATATTTTAATTGCTTCTTTCACTGCTACTGAATGTTGCCCAAATTTTGTATATCTGGCTTTCCCATGGCAAATAATGCCACAACCAAGAACCTGCAAGAATCCTAGTACCTTGTCCATAAACACTAAAATGAAATTAAAAATGTTAAAAGATTTTCCAGTATTAAAAAAAAACTCAATATATCACCAAATCTGTTCTAAATGGATGACTGATAAGCTCATTGAAGTCTTGGTTGATTTTGCCTAATTGAAGTTTTCACATCCATATCATTGAGCATGTTTATCTTATGGGGCATATTATGGGGGCATAAAAGGTGTGCATTGTGTTGAACTATTTTCTTCCATCACAAAACATGAGAATATTCCACATAGTCTTTCATCCAGATGCTAATCATACAGTGCATGCTTAATTTAATTATAAGCCCTGAAGTCATGCCTCACCTATCTCATTCTCAGCCTCCATCTGTACTATGAGAACAATGAGCATTGTAGAAGAGTTTTCTAGATTAGTGGTTCTCAAACTTTTCTTTATCATGGACCCCTTTTAAATACCTTTTGTGGTCCTGGACCATCAAGACTTAACTCGAGTTTTAAATCATAACATTTCTTCAAAACTTCGTGGACCCCCTGTGATGACACTGTGGCTCCGCAGGGGCCAGTGGATGAAGGTAGAACAGCATCTGGAAATTTTAATTAATGATTTTTTTAAAAAGCTTCTTCTATAATTCTGGTTCTCCATTAGTTAATTCAGGACTTAAAAGTGATTTGTGATGTTCTCTGTGAAAATAGTGAGTATATACTCAAAGTCAAAACATGGGACCGACTGGCTTTCTTCTTTTTTTTAGGATATCTTGGAGCTTCCCCATGAGCAGTTTGTGATCTGTTCCATAGTCAGCACCTGGCCATATATTTGGAGCTGTAACTGAGCTCCTCCACCTCCTGTGAGAAATAACATAATGTAATTTCTATATGCTTCTTTCAGTGATATCCTTGCATAAAGGTGTCATTTTGTTTTTTTTAAAGAATGTGTTAGCTATGAAGCAATTATTGGAGAAGTGAAAGTTGATAAGTTGATATCCGCCTTCATTTCAATGTCCTAAACCATACAATCCAAACTCATTTCCTCTTTAATATTTCCAATTTTGGCATTCCAGTCTTCAGTCACAAATAGCACATCTTACTTACAATGTCAGGCTTCCAAGTGATGAAATCCATTCAAAAAGGAAACAGCAAAGTCCATCTTCCATAATAATTTCTTTTATTTAGAATAGCATCAAATTGGCAATGTCTGTTGTAATTCCGGATCTGACACAACCCGGAATTACACTACATAATATTGGAAGTTAGAAACAACCTCTAAAAATCATATTCTCCAATATAATCAAACTCCACCTCCAGGTCTCAGCAAGGTCAGCTTTCATTCCCACAGGAAGAAACACCACCTAGCCTAAACAACTCTCTCTCTCTCCACTCCTCCCACCTTAGGAATGTGGCAAGCCCGAAACCCTTCCTCCCAATACCAGCAAAGAGAAAGAAAGAAAAGGAATATATAAAAAGGCTAAATAAAATGGCTACAGATATGTCAATTTCAGACTTGACATACAAGTTCTGTCAGTTTTAAATTGAACTTGATCATAAAACTTATCAACCCACTTTCAGATGCTTCAATGAACAGGGGATCGAACCACATTCAATATGACCTCTGATGTCCCTCTCAATTCTGAGCTAAGGGAACTCACCCCCTCTTGTGAACCCCTTTGACTACATTTGACTTTTAAAAGGTTATGTAAAGGGGGTCTGTGTCCACTCTCTCTTCCCTGTAAAAAGGGATAATGTCCCAAAATAGGAAAAGGATGAAACCAAATTTGATATGGTGGTAGAATCCAGAACAAGAAAAAAATATGTTTGAAAGCATCCAAGTGGGAGAGGCATGCTGGCTTCATAGTAGCAAAATGTAGGGAATTTGGGAATGGAGGCAAGCTAAAAGATCATAACCCAAATGGATCTTTCCAGAGAGAACTGAAAGACCAGGTTAAATATATGTAGTCAAATTAGGCAATTATCACCTCCACAAAAATCATCCCAGAGAAACTAAAGTTGTCAGCTCAATCATAAAAAGATTTAGAAAGCCAAGGAATGCAAGGGATAACAAATCACATGCAAGATGATTTTTGATGTCCCTTCCAATTCTATGGTTTTGGTTTTGTTTCAGCATTATAAGTGTGTTAACCCCTCCTTGAAGGAGATGGGTGGTCTAGAAACATAAAATATAAACAAACAAATAAGTAAGTAAATACTTCAGCATATAGAGCAAAATGATTGTTTAAAGATGTTTTCAATTAATGAAGAGTAAAAGAAGTTCATGAAAATGGATTTCATTCTATTAGCTACTTCCAATTAATAATAGTAAGCGAGTGAGAGGAAAAGTGGGGTGGGAGGATCAGGAGATAGGAGAAAGAGATTTCCGGAGAGAAGTGGAGATGGCTTGGAGATGTAGATGAATATGGATTGGTTCCCAAATAATTAACGTTCGTTACCATGGTGATGGTAATACCAACATTCTTTTAAATCTAATTTGAGCCAATGAGAGTTAGATGATTCAGAATGTCAGATTTTTACATTTTATTATGACTTTAATTAACAATAGAATCAAAAAAATTTCAGGAAAAATGAATGTCTACCTTCGTAAATACTTCCATCCTAATTTATCTTGGTAGACCAACCTTTACACTGTTTGCATTTTCCAAATAATTTCTTGAGTGCAGATAAGACATCTTGATTCCTCAGGCTGTATATGAAAGGATTCATGGCGGCAGGGACAATAGTAGTAAACACTGTATTAATCATAGCAGAATAAGAGGAAGCTGAAGTCATATAGGTCGAAATGGCTGCTCCATAGAAGAAGCCCACCACACAGAGATGGGACAGGCAGGTTGTCAAGGCCTTGTGGCTCCTTTCAGAAGATTGTACCCTCAAAACCTGGATAAGGATAGCAATGTAGGAGGAGAAGATGACTGAGATGGGAATCAGAAGTACCAGGAAATTTCCAATGTGGGTTGCTTTTTTAAAACCAGAATTATTCGAGCAAGAGAGTTGTATGAGGGCTGGATAAACACACATGTAATGCTTAATCACATTGGACCTGCAGTAGGGAAGGGGCAGGACATAAAGAGAGCAAGTTAGAGCCTGGACAGTGGACCAAAACCAGGCCGCCATTGACATCATATGAAGGATGCTTTTCCTCAAGAGGATGGGATATTGCAAAGGTTTGCAGATGGCCACATACCTGTCATAAGACATAGTAGCCAGGATAAGGCATTCTGCTCCTCCTAAAAGCAAAGTTACAGTAATCTGAGTAACACATCCATAGAGCGAAATGGTATGCCTCTTGGTTACAAAGCTGACAAATACTCGAGGAACAATGGTAAGAATTTGACAGAGGTCTAATAAAGCTAATTGTTTGAGAAAAAAGTACATGGGAGTGTCAAGACTAGAGTCAGCATTAATTACAAAGAGAAGGAGACAGTTTCCAATAATTGCAATAAAGAACATGAAGCTAATAGCCACGAGAAAAATTGTGGGTGATTTTTGATATTGAAGTCCAAGTAGAAGAAACTCTTTCCATGATGTGGCATTCTTCTCTTCCATCCTTTTTTCATGCATCCAGGACTACTAGTTGATGGTCACAGCACTGTATAAGCAATAATATAGGCATGTTTATATTTGAAGAATGTGGAAAATTAAATGACAGTAAACTAGAAGTTTGGAATAAATGAAATTAGGCATTCCCATCCTCTGTCCTCTCAACTCTCTCTTCCTGTATCTAACAATTATTTGCAATCCTTCATGTTCCCTTTGAGTCTCCCACTTATTTTAACATCTAGATTTCAAAGATCAAATCACCTGGAATGACTAATACTTGCTCCATTAATTGAAGACGGAAAACATTTCTCAATTTGTATTCCCAATTCTATTTCTTCTTTAACACTGCATTCCTTTTAATAATACTTTGGGTATTATTCTTGCCATGACAATAGTTTTAAAACTGTAGAAGCTTCTTTGCATCACATGAAGACATCGATAGAGGGGAAAATGTGCAGGTATATCCGTGGTTATACTAAGGAAGATCTTATATTTCAGTGCTGTATCGTTGTAAATAATGTGAATAACTACATCACCAGTTGTGAAAAAATTATCCCATGAAACATTTTGAAAGAACATGCTCTTTGTAGGAATATTCTGTATTTGTGGAATAAGCAAACTTTGCCTATTGTTATGTCTCCATGCATGTTACATTGTGTGCTTACACAACACTAAGAGCATTGGAGATAAACAAACAAATACACACATGTTGGAAATGACTCCAAATAACAAGAACTTGGATTGGTGAAAACACAGATATTTTATTTGTAAGCTTAAATCAAAGCATACAAAAGGAAAAACAAAAGCTGTTTGCAAAGAGCAGTTAGATCTAAGCTTAACTCAGGGGTGGGATTCAAATTTTTAACAACCGGTTCTGTGGGCGTGGTTTAGTTGGTGGGTGTGGCTTGGTGATCATGTGACTGGGTGGACATGGCTTGGTGGTCATGTTATTGGCTGGGTGTGGCCAACTCAATATCACTCACATTGAGGCACGCATCTCCTCGCCTGGCCTCTCATGACTGTGGGGATGCTGCAACAGTTGTAAGTGTGAAAAACGGTCATAAGTCACTTTTTTCAGTGCCATTGTAACTTTGAATGGTCACTCCACACAAGCAAAGCACCAGCAAAGGAGGAAAAAAAAACTCCAGAGAAGTTCCAGAGACAGGAAGTCTAGTCCTGCCAAGAATGTAATAAGGGTTAATGGAGAGGCAGTTTCTGTAAGCAACAATGTTGAAAAATGTTGAAAAAGCACTACGCAATCTAAAACCATCTCTAACTATTGGACCGGATGGAATATGTGCCTACTTCTTAAAAAAGCTATCCACTGCCATAGCTGATCCTCTAAGAATAATCTTTGAAAAATCTTTGAGGAGCAGCTCCTTGCCAAAACTATGGTCACAAGCCACAGCCATCCCCATCTTCAAAAAGGGAGACCCCAGCCTAGTTGAAAATTACAGACCAATCTCTTTATGCTGCGTCACCTGTAAAGTCATGGAATCAATTATTAACCAATCCATCATCCTCCACTTAGAAACAAATAGTCTACTCTCTAATAAACAGTTTGGTTTCAGGAAAAAACTATCATGTAATCTGCAACTCCTACACTGCAAAAACATATGGACTACACAACTCAATCAGGACAAAGCAATAGACGCAATCTACATAGACTTCTGTAAAGCCTTTGATTCAGTGGTACACGACAAACTATTCCTAAAATTATAATCTTACAGTATCTCTGGACACCTGCATAACTGGATAGGAGCATTCCTGTCAAACAGACAACAAATGGTCAAAATTGGGAACATCCTATCAAATTCTGTACATGTCAACAGTGGTGTCCCCCAAGGCAGTGTTCTAGGACCAACTCTTTTCATATTCTACATAAAAGACCTCTGGGATCATATCAAGAGCAACTGCGTTCTCTTCGCTGATGATGTAAAGCTATTCAACACCACAGACAATACTGCTACCCTTCAAAAAGACCTTGACTATGTATCAGAATGGTCAAACAAATGGCAACTTCAAATCTCAACAAATAAATGCTCTGTCTTACATATTGGCAAAAAAAATCAGAAAATAAAATACAGGCTGAATAGTCCTTGTTGATGATCCAAACTCTGTCAAGGATCTTGGAGTACTCATCTCAAATGACCTAAGTGCTAGAGCCCATTGTAACTACATAGTCAGAAAGGTGTTAAGAGTTGTTAACCTAATCTTACGTAGCTTTTTCTCTGGTAATATTACGCTAATAACTAGAGCATACAAAACATTTGCTAGACCAATACTCGAATACAGCTCATCAGTTTGGAACCCGCATTACATATCTGATATTAACACAGTTGAAAAAGTCCAGAAATATTTCACAAGAAGAGTTCTCCACTCTACTCGTTGCAGAATACCTTATGCCACCAGACTTGAAGTCTAGACCTAGAAAAGCTAGAACTACGCCGCCTTCGGTACAATCTAAGTATAGTATATAAAATCATACATTGCAATGTCCTACCGGTCAATGAATACTTCAGCTTCAACCATAAAAACACAAGAGCAAACAATAGATACAAACTCAAGGTTAATCGCACCAAACTTGATTGCAGGAAATACGACTTCAGCAACAGAATGGTCTATGTCTGGAATACTCTACCTGACTCTGTGGTTTTTTTCCCCAAACCCCAAAAACTTTAACCTTAGACTGTCTACCATTGACCTCACCCCTTTCCTAAGAGGTCTGTATGGGGCATGCATAAGCGCACCAACGTGCCTACTGTTCCTGTCCTATTGTTTCTTTTATATTTTTTTAAAATTTTTCTTATATGTATCCATGTATTTATAACTATGTTTTTACTTATACCTATTATCTTGTAAGCAATTGACAAATAAAATAAATAAATAAACACCAGAATGTTTCCTTCCTGCCTTCCTTACAGGATTAAGCCAGTAATTTCTTCTAACAACCGTTTCTCCGAACTGCTTAGAATGTTAACAACCGGTTCTAGCAAATAGGTGCGAACTGGTAGAATCCCACCCCTTGCTTAACTCAACATGAAGTCTGAGCCAAGACCCACACCTTAAGATTTCAATACATTACTTTTTTTAGTTTTTCTATCCTGATGCCCCCCACGCCCCTCCTACATCGACCCAGTGACTGGAAACAGCTAATCTGAAATGCCTTATGGATACCACATCATCTCCTTCAACACCTTCCAATGACCACCCATCACATATTTTGCCAACATGGATTTTTCTTATCTTACTTGGCATTAAGGAATGTCCCTTCAGCAGGGCCTCTTTCTAACGGTCCGAGAACAAAGAAATATCTATTCCTAACACCACACTTGTTACATATTAATGTTACATTTAGCACATCTGCTTAGAACAACATAATGATTATATACATCTCTAATATATTCACCTATGCAAAGTAAAAGTCTGGTTATAAATGCATTAGAAAATATATTTACAGCAGGATTACATCAAGATAGCAAATTTCTATAGAGCAACTGTCTTCCTAATGCTATTCTCTTCATCTACATTTTATTTTTGAATTTTCTTGTTTCTAACGCACGGACAAATATATGTACATATTCACACATATAGTCCATACATACATATGGCACAATGTAACTTCAGTATCTCTATGCATGCTGTATTGTGTGTTCACAGAACACCAATTGCATTGGAGTTAAACAAATATATAAACACACATATACACCTGCATACATCCATCCATAAATACAGCACACTCTAACCTTAATAACATAACCTTAGAAACAAAATGCTTCTAAAGATGTTCTCTACACAAATTCAAGTATTCAAGGAAATCTTCAGTATTTTTTTTGGAAATTCCAGACTGGAGACTAAAACACATGAAAATTACAGGATTTGGGTTTGGCTAGTCGAGAAAAGAAGGACCAGGGATGACATAATAGTAGTATTTCAATATTTCAGGGGCTGCCACAAAGAAGAGGGGGTCAACTTTTTTTCCAGAAGGCAAGACAAGAATCAATGGATAGAAACTAATCAAGGAGAAAAGCAATCTGGAATTAAGGAGAAGTTTTCTAAAAGTGGAAATAATTAACCAGTGGAACGGCTTGTCTTCTGAAGTTATGGGTACTTTATCACTGGGTGGTTTTAAGAAGAGGTTTTTCAGACAAGGTTTTTCAGCCACTTGTCTGAAATGGTATAAGGTCTTCTGCTTGAACAGGAGGCTGGACTAGAAGATCTCCAAAGTCCCTTC